ATTCTGCAGGAAAGCCAGGCAGCCTCACGCTGACTGCTGAGAGCAGCCTAGCAGAAGGCTGCAACTGGGCAGATCTGCACAGTAAGGAGCTTAGACGACACTAGCAAAGAATATTCTCTCCAGATTTGCTACCCTGTTCATCAACTGGTGAGTACATTCTGTTATCTCTCACATATATACACCACAGCAGGTGGCAAGTCATGGGCTTCCATAAAACTCTAACGAAAAACTTCACTCTGAGACCTAAAAATGTTTTCAGTGCTCCTTGGGGGCAGGTTTGGGTCCACTCAGCCCTTCCAGGTCAACAGGAAGATCTGGCAGGGACTGTATTGGTTGGACAGGTCCAACTCGCAGGGGAATATTAGGTGGGTATAAAGCAGTCTGAAGACTAATTTAGAACCAGTTCCAACTTTTCCTGATGTTCTATGGATCGGGTTGCGGCTCTCAGGAGGCCTGCTGATGGGTACAGCAGTGTCTCAGAGAAGCCTTCAATGAAAGATCTTCCCTGGCTTCATGGCTTTGGCCTGAGCAAAACCACCGCAGACCCCGCGGTCCTAGAGGTTGCTGTGTCCTTGGCACTGGTACCCCTGGCTGCTGAGAGCTGCCCAGCAGTGACAGTGCTCAGCCAAGCTCTGCTCCGGAAGCTGAGCCCACTCAGGGTTGCATGCTGAGCAGTCTAGGAGTGGAAAACACAGCTCTGTAGACAAAAGTTTGTCCTCCATTCCACAGCACAGAACCTCCAAGACCAAATACTCCGACCCACTAGGGTTGATGCTGAATGCCCACACCTCACTTCCACACTTTTACAGCTCCTTGCATGCAAAGCACAGAGCCCATTTATAGCCTCTCCTGGGCAGTGGCTGCTGAAATCTAAGAGGCCCTTTATACTGAAGAGACTGATATTTTTAGATGTCTGAGTGGGCAGGAAGAGGAAAATGACAATGAACTTCATCAACCATTTGTTGAGCACTTGGTGTAAGCCGGGCCCCCTCTAATCTCATCAGAGTCCACTGAGGTGGAAGCTACTGTGAACCCCACTGTGCGGGCTGAATAAAATACCCTCCTCATCAGATCAAGGTGCCAGTTCAACTTTTATATTCTCTTCCACTTAGCAGGTCTCTAAATTTCAGCTCAGGACTTTCTTCCACCCAACACAAACCAAATGCCACTCCCAGGAAAAAAATACACTATGCCTTTCAGGGTGATTCTCACCCCAGCAACCAACAGACTCCCTTGAAGGTAAACACAGCATCATCCATCAAGCATGAGCTAATTCCTCCCATTAGTCCTGCTCTATTCTTCCAAAGCCCAGCAGAGCAGCTCTACTCACTCCTCTGAACATCCCTTCCCATCACAAAATGAGTGAGGTAAAGTGCAAGAGCCTCTCCCACCTTGGAACTACCTTGCACAACATACCTATCTGTAGTGCATGGATCTTTTGCTGATTTACTCATTCAGTTGCCAAAGAATTCCAGAGAACCTACCATGTGCCAGGATTTAGGGAAGCTGTCCCTGCCCACAAGAACGTCAAGTCTAGTGGATAAGACAAATGAGAAAAGTTGAAGATTATAATATAACACTATAGTATGCCTTTAGAATACAGATTCCAAGAACACACGATTTTGTGTACTCTGCACTGTAATATTCCCTGAACCAGAGCAGTGCCTGGCATAGAGCAGCATCTAATAAATATTTACTGAATGAATAAATCAATGAACAAATTAATGAGTACATGCCATCAGGCATATAGCCCAGTAACAGTTATAACATTTGTCCAAAGATACTTGTAGCTACAAGTAAGCATTTCCTAGTGCTGAGCATTGTTTAAGTCCTTTTCAGGGGCAAGTTCATATCATTACCACAATCACCATATTATGCAAACCTTATTTTCCCCATTTTGCAGAAGAGGAAACTTATGTGCAAACTAACGTTAGGCTCAAGAGTTCACAGTAAGTAAGCAGCAAACCAGATTTGTCCCACTGGAAAACCTGCACTGCTGCAAACCACTGGGCCACAGAGGCCCTGCTTGAGGTGATGGGGAATGCAAGGATGGCGTGACGTGAAGGGACAGAGGGGCAAGTTCAAAACAGAAGGTTTGTGTTCAAAGACCAGAGAAGCAGACCAACAAGAAGATAAAACTTTTCCCAGGTAAATGTAGTGGATTTTATAAACTCTTCCCACAGTTGCTGACACCCTATCCACTCTTATGGCAGCAGTTCAAGAGACAATACTAGGATGTAACTCCATGAAGTACATTTAAGCAAGGCAAGTCCTACATTGTTAAAGTGATCAGATCCAGTCCTGAGAATTTTATACTCAGGAGAACTCTAGAACCTGCATTTATGAAAGGCGAGCTGAGTGAAGAGCCATGAGACGGGAGCAACCCTCAAGCCTATCCCTTAGTCTTCCCTCAAAGATGCGAAAGCTGTCATTTCAGAAACAAGCAAGAGCAAGAATTCTGGAGGTTGCTAAACCAACTCCATAAAGGGACCCACCAATTCCACACCTCAATTCCAAATGTCCAGTCCTACTGTTTCTACTGATACAAGAAATTAAGAAGCAATGTTAGGATCATGCCCCACTACATTCTTAGTAAGATAAAGGAAATGGTGCCTCTTATCTTTACCCGTGTGGAAGCTACAGCAAACTGTTTTAATCTTATCAATAAACGTGAATTGAACATCAGTCATTGACAAGGCATTGTGCTACATACACTGACATACATCAGTACATTCTATGGGACACAGACAAGAAAAAAAGTGAAAATTAAGAGCATTAAGCATGATAAGTGTTGTAACAAAATGAGCTTGGCATGTCTGGGGCAATGAAGGCCACTGTCCCAGGAACATAGTCATTAAGGAGCAGGTGAAACAATGAGCATGGAAAGACAAAGAGGAATCAAGTCAGGTCTGGTCTTGTAGGACACTGGAAAGATGGGGACACTAAGTGTAGTGAGATGCCACCAGAGGCTTTTAAGAGCAAAGTAACGTGAACTGATTTTTGCTTTAAAAGGCTTACTCTGAATGTCAACAAAATGAGTACATATTAGTGATACACAATAGAGGGCTGGCTCTCACTTTACCTCATACATGACATACAGATGCCATCCGGTACAGAGACAGAATTCATCCACATGCCAGCATACCCCAGAGTCCCCACAAACAAGTGGAGGTGACCAGCTGCTTGGACTTCCAAGAATATGCTCTCCAGTAAGAAAGACCGCTTACTCTGAAACCCAATTTCCCCTCTCCCTTGGTTATTCCCTCCATGGATGAAAGTGAAAAAAAATGTTTTGTGCCCAAGGGTCATCAATCTTAAACTACTTCAAGACAAGTCCTGAGAAGAGATAGAGAGTTGTTTCAGGGGCACCAGGGAGGAAGCACAAATGTCTTGCTAACATTTTGATTCAAGCACTGAACTGAAACCCCAAGACCAGGCAAGAAGAGCAATCAGGGGCCTTGTGACCATTTAGCTGGTCTGCTGTCATTACTGATGACAGCCTGAAGGGCGATGCAGAAGTCAAGATATTAAACATGGGTCAGCCTGACTGTCATATGCCAAACACCAATACAGGAAAACACTATGTCAGTGCCCAACATATCAAAAGGCAGCCCACATGAGGCTGTACCTGTGGCAATACCATCCATATGAGAAATCTGGGCTAATCTGACTCTGCTGTTCATAAATTCTCCCTCATGTTGAAGCACATGTGTTTGGGAAAGGAAACGAATGCAAGTCAATTTTAGACGTTGTTACTTGGAAACCATCTGGAGTCCCTGGAAGCATAAGAAGCCACAGCATCTCTTGCCCTCAAATGCCCATAGTAATTAAGTCAGATGCTTACATGGGAGTTAAGTGTCCTCTATTCCCCAGAGTGTCCCCACACCCACCCTACCAGATGCCAGTTCAGGCTCCACTTCCCACCCAAGAAAGGTATTTGCTTTCTTGATAAACCCAGTGGAGAGCCCTCAATGTGCTGAGCTTGCACTTGAACTGCACCCAAGGCTGAGTTCTCTCCTTTCCGCCTGCTTTAGAACTGAACACCTGAATTCCTTTGCCACAGCTGCAAAGGAAACCCCTCCGCAGGAGAAGTACCATGAAAAACCCCCCTTACCTAACAGTCCTGTGTTCTGAGCATGTCTAGCTTTGGAAGAGACCCACCAGAATCCTTATGTAACACTATTAAATGTTGGCACCCCGCAGAGCCGCTCCTGGAGACACTAGCCCAGACGTAGCCCATTTTCACAGTGATGACAGCCGGCTAGGTCCCGCAGCTTCCCAGGGCCTGGCTCTTCCTGGCTGCGGGGCCTCTGTACCCCTCCCCTACCTGGCTGTGATCCTCTGCTTAGCTCATCTTCCAGAGGAGTTGGGCCTTCCTTTCTGCAGCCTCCCTCCCTCTACTAAAATCCTTCGGACCAAGCCCACAGCAGCGCCATTCCACCAGCACCTTCCCGGCCCCCGCTGCCCCCACCCCTTAAGCTCCTCTCTCCACCACCTAACGCCTGACGAAACCCGGCCAGGAAAGAGATCCACAATCTCGTACAGTCATAGTCCCAGAAAACAAACACGGCAGGAGGGGCAGGCTCAGTTCTGCCAAGCCGACCAGGCCCGACACTCCCCCCGGGACCCCCCCCTGAAGCCCGGAACTCGGCGCAGGGGAGGGAATCTTCGGAGAGCGACTGCGGTGCAGCTGCCCCGCTCCAGCACAATCAGAGCAGACACCTGTTTCCAGGATGCTCTGCGGCCAGGGGAGAAGGGAGTCCCAGGGAAAGGCGGGGAGGACGAGGTGAAGGGGCAGCTGGGGACGCAGGTAAAGGATGCGTCACACTTTGCGCTTGGCAACCGGCGCCCGGGAGTAGCGGGCAGCGCGCGAGGAGGCGCGGGGGTCTAGAAGTTCAGAGAGGAGGGGTCGCGCCTGCGAGCGGCGTCCGAGGGAAGCCGGGGAAGGGGCGGCCGGGCTCCATCACCTGCGCGCACCGGGCTGCCAACGGGTGACCTACCTGCCCACAGTCTGGTTGGCCAGCTGGCGCATGCGATTGAACTGCTTCTTCATCGTGGCCCCGCTGCCGCGCTGGCCGGGAGCTGGAGAAGGACGGAGCCGCCCAGAGTCTGCCGCCGCCTTACATGGCCCCGAGCGGAGCTTCCCGGGCGACAGCGGCGGCACTGCGGAGCCTCGGGAGCCGTCTGGCCCGCGCGCGGCTGCCTCCTGAGGGCACCGCCGCCTACTCCCCCGCCCGCCGCCGCGCCTGCTGCCGCATCCTCCTCGCGCGCGCCGCGCCGCCTTCCTAGGAACGCCCGGGGCCGCCCCCGGCGCCCGCCAGGTCCGCCAGGTCGCCCAGGCGGCCGGCCCCGTGCCCAGCCCAGCGCGGGACCCGGGAGTCTCCGCAGGCGGGCGGGCCGGCGGGCCGGGGATCCCCGCTGCGCCTGTGCGGTCGGCGCTGTGCATTCTGGGACTTGTAGTTCCGCACCCGCTTCCCACCTTCCTCCACCCAAAGTTTGCAGCGCAGGGGAGGGCTGCGTCGTTGGGGGCCTGGGCACTTTAGCATCCAGGAAGCGAAAGGTTTTACTGCTTTGAAAATAACAAGGCGGAACCAAGGCATACAGCCTCAAATAAAAAGTGAGCATCTGTCTTTCATTGTATTTTAAGTGAAGGCAAGAAGTTGTTCTGAATTCACCGGAGGCAGGTGCTACAGTCGTTCATAAAACTGCCTAAGGCCACCTGATTATTGTCGAGGTATACAGTTAACTTTGAGGCACAGGGTTTGATGGGGGAGATTTTGAACCAGGCATTGCATTCATCCCAGAAGTCTAATCCTTAACTTTGACGAAACCCAAACGCCAAAATAGGATATAATAATCATGGCATGGTGTCTAAGGGCCCAATTTGACTGGGACAACTTTCTTGTATAGCATAGACCCCAGGCTCATACCTATTGCCATTTCCCTTCCTCCTCCGGTCACCAAGGGGCATCAGCTGTAGCAAGCCTGGAGCATTCTACACAGCAGAGTGTCATTGGCGTTAATTGGCTCCTTGAAAAGGGGTTATCGCTTTCTGCATGCTCTATTCTGAGGAAGAGATGGATGATTGCAATTAGCTCTTTTATCTTTATCAAGTCAGACCAGTACTTCAGGGTGGTAGGGGCTTTGGATCAAATAGATATGAGCTTATACGTTAGTATTTTAAATACCAATTACATAACCTTAGGAGAAAACAGCATAACCTCTCTAAGCCTCAATTTCCTTATCTCTAATAGGGAAATAGTACTGCCCAATAGATAGGAAATCTGGAAAACTATTTGTTAAATTATCAGTAGAATTACTAATCTGATAAATGAAAGAACTTTTTTGAAATGGCGTATTTTGCATATGTTGATTAGAGCTGCAAGATGTCCTAAATATGGTTCTAAGTATCTTGCTGGCCAGCTGAACAAAAGATGGTTTGAGGCATGTCTTGGCTGAATGAACATGAAATCTTTAATTAATTGTGAATTTAGCCTTTGCTTATTAGGTCAGGCAGCTTTAGCCAATTAATAGGGGAAGGCATTATTTGCTCTAACCAATTACACTATGCCTATAAATGTCAATGTAATTTTTATAAAGACTGAAATTATTGCCATTTTGAGATCTTGTTAAAACCGAGCAACAACACGGTTTTTATACATGTAAATAATAGTGAGGCACTAAGGGCACTGTGTGACTTTTAGCAACCCCATCTCTGGTAATGCCTAGAACTGCCCTGTCTGATATAGTAGCCACCAGCCACATGTGGCTATTGAAATTCAAAATAGTGAAAGTTAAATAAAATTTACAATGCAGTCCCTCAGTCACCCTAGCCACATTTTAAGTGTTTTATAACCACATGTGGCTAGGGGCTCCTGTACTGCCCAGCACAGATACAGAACATTCCTGTCATATCAGAAGTCTTACGGACATCACTAGTTCTAGAGAACCCTGCTAGCCCACCCAATATCATGCCAGCCTCGGGTTCAGTCCTGGGATATTTTCGTTCTAATAGGGAAATATCTGCTTTTCCACAAAAGACAGCTTACCCTGCCAGAGTGGGGTCCAATGATGATTTCTTCAAGACTTCCTGGTTTCCTGTGAGCTTTTCCTTCATTCAGGAGGCAGCTGTTCCTTTTTCTGCCTCCTTACCCCAGAGAAGGGATGACAGTGCAGAAAACAAGAACAGGTTGTCAAGTCTACTGTTTTGATCTTTCAAAACAGGCTTTAGAAACACGTGTGATAGAATAAAGATTTTTCAAGAAAAGGGTTTTGAGTTTCAAGATGGGCTTTGAAACTTTGTCTAGGACATAACTAGTAGAATTCTATATAAAGAACAGGCTGTGGGGTATTGAAGATGACAATAGGGGGAAAGAGGGAGAGGAAAAATAGATGATGAATGTGCAGATTTCACAACTGTTCAAAAATATCCCTGCCTATACCTCTGGGAGGGAGTACTACTTTACCTTCCCACTGAGGTCAAGATTGAACGTGTGGTTTTCTTTGGACATAGATAATACACACAGAGTGATTTATGCCATTTCCAGGCAGACATTTTAAGAAGCATTTTGTGATCCTGCCCCTTTCTATTTTCAACTCTCAATGCTCAACTACACCAGTCTGCCATAAGACCAGCAATGAGCTATTTGGGGGCTGCTGTGGATCAGAGTTGTGGCCATCCAGCTGGAGTGACAAATGAAGCTTGTGTTGCTGTAAGTTAGAGTTGAAGGGATTGTTTGTTACTGCAGCCTAATGAGTCTAAGCCGACTACTACAGGGGGTGTCTTGGAGAAGGCGGTTTGGACTTGACTGTGTGACTGCTTTGACCAATGGCACATGGGTGGAGGTCACCTCCACCCTATGCATTAAGAGGTTTTGTGTGCTTTCCTCCGGCCCTCTTTGCTCTGCCACCGCAAGAAGCCCCTTCTCCAGGTGGCTAGTTATCTCTAACTTTGAGCTCTAGAACCTACACTGGTGAGCAGGCCTGATACAGACCACAGCTAAAATTAAAGGAGTAATTGATAAATTCACCTCTGGACTGATTATTTTAAAAGATACATAAAATGAATAGATCTAAGAAGAGGGACAAAGAAGAAAAACTGAAACACACAACTTTTGAAATGAGAAAAAAGGATTTAATCACAAATGAAAAAAAAACCTATAAGAGGATATTCTTGCAATTTTATGTTTACTTATTTTAAAATAAGCTCTTTTTTCCTTAGGAAAATATAAATTGCTACAGATATTTCAAAAATAGGTAGCAAAAATGAGTAGACCAAGAACACTGAAGACACTGGGAAGGTTGTCACAGAACAGCACTCCCCAAAATAGTCAGGCCCAGAGAGTTTCACGGAGAGCGCTTTCAAAGATTCCAGGAGTGGGTAATTCCTCCGCTATTTAAAGTGTCCCAGAGAGCAGAAATAAAATGAAGGCAACCTAATTCATTTTCTGAAAATGGCCCAACCCCATTACGAAACCTGAGGAAGATAGTACAAACACAAAAGCAGCAAATCAGTATCACTTATAAGAACAGACGTAAGAATTATCAATAAAATTAATTATCTAATAAAATGTCAGTGAATAAAATTTAGCAGTATATGTGTTTATGTATAAATGCATATACACTTTAATACTATCTATTGAAGAATAAATAATTCAGATTAAGTTAAGAAACAAAAACCATCCATGTTCTTACTAAGATAAAGTTATGAATTTATAAATATATTTCAAAGGTGGGATCACATTGTTAGGCCAACATGTTCTTTCCTATCTTCTGTTATCTAAAAATATCTATAATTAACATGTTGGTGGTTAAAACTTTGCACATACACTTATTTCCTTATTTCAAAATTAAACAATTAGGATTTCTGCATCAATATGTGCTATGTTTTCAAGCTTATTGTATTGCCAAATTATCCTCTAGATAAAAAATGGAAACATTCTGCAGGCCTGCTCACCATGCATAAATGTTCCATCTTCCCCACACCCTGACCTACACTGAATATTTTAATAATCTTACCAAATGAATAGATGAAAAATAGCATTATTTCTGTTTTAATTTGCATTTTTCTTTTTTATCACATTTAACATTTTGCCCATATGTTTAATGGCTATTAGTATTTCCTCTTTGGCTAATTACTTGTTTCTTCATGTCCTCTGCCCATTCTTCTCTTACAGGGCTTACATTTTCTTATTGGTTCTTAAAGGCTCTTTAGCTATATTAATTATATTAATGCTATTATCTCCTTTGGAAAATGTTTCTTCTAGTTTGGCCTTTCTCATTTAAAATCTCTAATGTTGATTTTTGTCTTCCAGGAATTTTACATTTTTAATGTGTGTCACATCCATCGATATTTTCCTTTATGTTTTATGCCTTTGGTTTAATGCTTAGAAAATCAGCCCTGCCCTCAAATGAGAGAAATATTCAACTGTATTTTCATCTTAACTTTGTAGGTGTCAGTTCTCTTTATTAATAGTAAAATTTAAATTCAACATTCAAAATGTTAATGAAAGCCAATAGTTTTGACTCATTTCTTCCTCCAATATCATTTTGAAATAACTCATCAAATGTACTAAGGAAATCCTATGTCACTCGTGGAAAAGAGAAAGGTGCCACTCACCATCTTGGCAGAAAATGGAACAGGTGATTTCTGAGTGAGGGGAGCCCTAGTGGGGCAGAATTTACTATGTGTGGTAACCTCTGTGGGGAAATTAAATGGAGACACACACCCTCTGACAGACCACCTCCTCCATCATCTCAGCCACCAAATCTGGACTAACCAGATCTCTCCAAGTGTGAATGAACAAACAGAAAAATGACTTGGCTGTTGAATACACTAAAGATGATGGCTGTGACGATGGTGAAGATAATAATAATAAACCATATGGCTAAGTACTATCGTAAGTATTTCAACAGGCATTACCTTATTTAATCCTTGAAAGAACTCTGGGATGAGGGTTTGTTATACCCATCAAATAAATCAAAGCTCAGAGGGTTTGACTGAATAGACATGAAGTGTCCTAACTGGGATTCAAACCCAGGTTTTTCTAGTTCAAATATCTGTGCTTTTATTACAGGTTATTACCTACATAAAACAGGGAGGCTAATCTGAGAATTCAGGGAAATGTCCTCCAGCAAAAAAAAAGTTAAGCAGGAAGTAAGGGAAATATATTTTTAAAGTCTAATTTGTATTCTTGGTGAGAACTGAGAGAACATTGCTTTAATATGACAGGAGCTAGTTGCCATGAAAAAGAGCCATATTAAACAAAAAAGAGTTCTTGGATAAAAGACACATGACTCCCAAACTAATGAAGCTCAGTAGAGGCAAGAAATAGCAGATTTGGCATTGCCCAAAATGGAATTGGAGCCTTAGAAGATGGGCTGGAAGAATGCTCTCAAAATTCAGAGAAAAA